GAAACACAAAAGAAGAATAGAAACGTTCATATTGAGTTTTAATAAAAGAGACGGCACTAAAGAGTGATACAGAATAAGCAAAATGAAATTGTTGTCTTCCAGATCACATGAAATACCTGCATGCAGTATTTATTTGTCTTCGGCATCATGTTTACTACTAACATGCTTTGTTTCCTGTGATCTAGGCGTGGGTAAAGGCTGTCACTTATTATCCGGAGTTTTAGCTACCATTCATAATTAAATAAGCTGTAATTATCTGGTCAAATAAACAATTCATGGCCAACAACACAACAGTTTGTGCATTGAACTCCAGAGGGGAGGAAATCTAGGCTATTGTTAGTTTGTTCACTAACTGAGAACATTTGCCATTTTCCCCATCTGACAATGTGTTGATACATTTTGAACAAAGGTAAGGATGTTGCCTGACAGATACTGCTGAGTTACATTAACGTCTTATTTATGCTATTATAGTTGTGTTCTAAATGAATTAGGAAAAAATACCTTTTAGAAAATTGAGTGAGTGCGAGTTTATACAATTGAATATGTAAAATGTTCTCTAGCTGCTATTTAAGGTTATGTAGTGGTATTCAATCTAGTTTTCCAAAAAGTCTGCACTATTTAAGTTTCATCTTTACGGATTTGTAATCTAACATAGAATTGTCTGCGATTTGTTCCAAGAACCTTTAAAGGTCAACCGGCATAGCTATGCACCTACACACAGCAGGGCAGAGGACTATTATATATAGAGGCTACTATCGCAAAACAATATCATACAAAATTAGATTTGACATAATGAAAATCCTATGGTTTATAACTTTAAAGTTCAAGCCATCTGAATGGACTACAGAGCCCCTTTGTTCCCTCCGCTGTTATGCAACAGGTCATTCTGCTGCAAGGTGGAATACTTTCACCTGTGAGAGGGCTGACTTTCAGCACCGAGAGTGCCATCTCCATTAGGGGATCATAATTGAGCCTAAAAAGCCAGGGAAAAAGGATCCTCATTGACTGGTGAACAGTGGCTGGCAGGTTATGCAATGAAAGCGAGCGGGAGGCAAGGACTCAAGAAATGTTGTTACATAACCAACAAGGCACATTCACACAGCCCACTGGGCAGCCGAGTGGAAAACAGGGTACTCCAGCAGCGCTGACAGAGGAGATGGAAAGGGAAAAAGAGCTTTTGTGTGGATGTTTGGGGTAAAAGTGGGATAGAGAGAGGTGTGTGGGAAAGCCGTCGTCGGGCTGAGAGACGAAGGTATTCTGCCTCAAACGTGCGAGGAGACAGAAAGAGCTTTGTGTGAATAGACTTGTCGTTTCTCATTATAATGCACGAGGCGCTTTGAGAGTCTCCTGTTAAAATAAAGGCAAGCCATTTCACCCCATTCCTCCTAGTTTGGGAAAGAGGAATTTGGAGCCTGAGGCGAGAGCAAGTGGTCGAAGAAGTAGAGGAAAGAGAGCCAGCGTGAGAGGAATTGGTGGATGAATGAGAGGAACTCACAACATAGCTCCATTAGTTTCTCGTTTGTTCACTTAGCCACACAAAGATGCTTTGCTCCCATTTGTCATGCAGAGTTGTGGCTGGATGGCTGAGCTGAGTTTGGGTCTGGAGCTGAGAGAGATTTAGTGAGCCATGCTGTGCTGTGTCCCGTATGAACGCTATCACACGCTAACTACGTATTCCCACTGGGCCTCGTCACGTGTCAGCCAATAGTCCCTGGTGTATTCGAAGCATCTCTGTACCACAGGAACGAACAGATGTGTGGCCGCAACGTGGACGCTTGGAATTCAAATTCAGCCAACCCAACAATTAAAAAGCAAGAGGTTCACTTTCTTTTAACACAAGCAACAACTGAAGCTTTCCATCTTTTTGGTGTCGTTAAACGTCGTCTCACGCAAAGCTAAATAAACGGCACGCTATTTTTAAATGCATTTTTTATGTCATGTGAACTGGTCACATATGGAACCAAGGTTATAGTATTAAACACGTGTCTAACGTTGTAAATTCAAATAAAACTACTTGGTTAGGTTTAGTAAAAGATCATGGTTTGGGTTTCTTTTTTTAAACGCTTTTTAAAAAGGAGTTTAAGTTAAGTAAATAGGTTAAGTAGTCAACGTAAAGAAGTCTAAGATGGACTTTTGGTTGCATACGAACAGCGGTCTCCTGGGTAAAAGTCATGGGTTTCTTTGACAACTCCATCCAACCCAACCGATCAAAATTAAAGCGCAAAGTTCAAATGCATAGTGATAGCATGCACAAATAGCTTAAAGGTGGGGTAGGTAATTCACTTCAGAAACACTTGTTATATTCCATGGAACGCTCTTAACATCCCGATAGCAATGAATACATTAAATGCTTTGACAATAAATACATTAAAACATTTAATCTAAGCCGTGGCTGTAAAAAGCACGACCAATCATCTGAGCCGGCCCGGCTAAAGTAACTGGATGGCCTACCTGCCTGTCAGCCTTCCATCTGTGCACAAAGTTATCTCGTGCCCTCATTGGTCATGTGCGTGTTCGTGTGTGTTGGAGGAGGGGCTCTGTAAGGAAGTCTGAAGGAAGGGGCAGATTTTTTTCAAATTCTAGCGTACTCGAGCTGGTTTCTCCATTCTTACTTACCCTACCTTTAAGGAATTGGCATGCTATTCATACTCCATTTGGTGATGCCGGGCGCTGGCATTTAATTGGACTTTTTCTTGGAAAAAGAAAAAACCTGCACAACCAAAGACAACGTCAGCAACAGTCAACACTTGCTTTTAGTGGCAATGAAATTAAACCACGCCGACCATAACACAGCTGTTCATTAAAGTAACGAACGGAAAAAAGAAATAAAAAAGAAATTCAAAAGTACTCCTATCCGTGGCACACCACAGCCACTTTAAATGACGTTCTTTTAAGAGGAGTCAAGTGTAGAAAACGTTTGCCTGATTAATCTAATATTGGGCGACAGCAGCTGCAGGACCAGGTTGGAAACAGCAGGGTGGGCCAATCACTGCTGCGTATAGCTACACCACCAACCACCACCACAAGGGGAGGAAATGGGACGGGAAATAGACAATTTTCTCTATCAATAACACATGTCCTGGTGTAGATCAGAAGCATTTTACACCCTCATTCGTGCAACTTTAACGGTTCTGCAGACCTGAGAAGGAGTTCTGAAAGGCCAAGTATCTGAGAGGAGGATGCATGTAGGTGGAGCTGCTGAACTCATATCTGAATACATCACTGACATCATGTCGATGCTTCAGGCCGTGGGCAGCAGCACATGCAGATATTTTTCTCCCACCCGACCCTTGACCTCTCCCACGCTTGTCATATGTGTGCTCCCCTCCCTTGTAATGACTTAAACCATGTTAAAACCTCCCTCACTTTCTACATCCTTTTACAGGCGACTCAGCCGCGGGCACGCTCCACCCAATAAGACACACCCCAACCAAAAATAACTCCACTAGGATGGATCCTAGCAAGTACGTTACGTAAAAAAATAACATACACATCACAGGAGCTGTGACTCACTCGCTGCAGCGAATTAAGGTTACAGTATAAATGAATACTCAGACATGCATAACATTTGTAATGGAGGAAATAAAATCTTATTTGCACAGATATTTATTCCATGCCAGTGACTCGGGACGCATACTAAGAGCAGCAGCTGTGTGTTTGCGGCCACTGTTACGTAAGAGGACTTGCATCCACTCACATAATTGATTTTGACCCCCGTGACAGCTCTGTTGTGTGCTGTGAAGTGGAGGAAAGATCAGCCGCGCAGAACAACACATTTTTTGGTATCAGCATGCAGACAAACATAAACACAGGATTACAGGAGAACAGGAGCATGTGTCCTAAGGATACACTGAACTGGGTGCATAGCAAGTGCAGCCTTCAGATTGAAAGCATTCATGTAAATGTGTGTTTATCTTCACGAACTGAGCTCCTTTAATCCTCTGCTCTGTTCTCATCTGAAAGCATTTCTTCACTGTAAACATCTGTTACAGTAAATATTATATGCAATCGCCGAGACTAAGTGTTACTCTTCGCTCAAGTAGGTGTGTTGTACTCCCATATTTGTTTACTGAGATGCAAAAGATGCATGTTTACATGTTTTCATAGCACTGACGCAGCATGATGTTCCCGTGCTTCTTCATGAGTGGGCAATCTCAGCATATGGCATTTCTGTGCTCTTGGCAGTGGCCTCCATCAGCAACCCTCTAAAGCCAACTGCCAAGCTTGGATGTTTACCAAACACAACAAATAAAAAATGGCACAGATCAGTATCAAAATAAAATAAATCATTGATTTTGTTTTTGTGAATTCAGTGCAGACGGAGCATGGTTCTCTCACGCACATTAAAAGCACTTTATATGTTATAAATAGAAGGGATTTGTTGAAATATTTGCTCTTTTGTTTACATTGACCTATTTCTCCTCTCCAGCTGTTGGCTTTCCCCAAAGTTTGTCTTTGTAAATCATTCACTCAAGTCACTCTTTCCCTTAAAATAATGACTAATCTAAGGAATGCTTTACTTCTGTGAGAAATTCCTTTGGGTCAAATTAGGAATGGTTGGCATTTTTCCCACCACTTTACATAAAAAGCCTAAAGCAATATTGATCTTTGTGGATCCAATATTGGGCTACAGTCAAACATACAAATACTTTTTGTTATATATGTTGAGATATTGTAACTTAAGCATATGCATACATTCAGAACTCCTTTTGAAAAATAGGCATTTTTAATATACGTACATTCTGTAATTCAACACATGCTTAATTGTAGTTTTTTGACACGCTTGTTTTTTTCAATGAATGAGAATTAACTCCTTTTGTCTGAATAGGAATCTTTCTCATTAAATGTGTAAACAACGGTTAGTGTAACGTTACAAAAACAGTAGAACACGTTGTCCCCAAAAGATCGATATTTTGGCTTAAGAGTCGCAAAAAACACCATCATCATGACCTAAAAGCTATTTCAAAAAGCTGGGACTAAATAAAACGGGTAACACTTACCGAAATACACCGTCTTCTCACACTTGGGGCACTTTGAAGACATGTTGGATGTTGTGGGTGAAAGTGATCTGTTTTGTTTGTCCGGAGCTGCGTTCACTATCTCTTCTCTGCACAGCAAGTGTCCTCGCACCGCTCACAGGAGCCCGAGCATCTATTCACTCCACGAGACTCATTTGCATAGCCCCGCCTCCTCCACGATACTCATGTCCCCTTCACATGCTGTGGGAAATGTTATAACTTTACAGCAAATTGTCGATAAACATAGTAGAAGAATATTGACCATCATCTACTTTCTTTGAGTGATTGTTTCCAGATACAAACAGTATATTTTATGACAAGTTGTTGGTGTTTTTTTTACACAATTTCTGTATTTTTTAAATGTATTTTTAATCCCAAAGTGTCGGGGTTCAGTTCGAAAAATAATATTTGATCGCACCCATTTAAATATAGCACAACATTTGAATGAAAATGTGATTACGCCATGTAACTTTTAATCTTAGTGTACTGTCATTGAGATATAATTTTATCGGAATCCAATATTAGTGAAATGTATTTAGACTAGCAACTATTTGAGATACATTAGCCCTTTAGTGAAGTAGCTAGCTGTAAACACGAGTTAAAAAAAAAATCAAATGGTTACAATTAATTAACTGAATATCTAAAAAAAAAACTACGATGTAAGTTTTCATTGTTTAATATTCTAGATATATAATGGAGACTATTTAGTGTTCAATTTTGTTAAATTATTCTCTTTTTTGCGAAAGTTCGGGCTTCTTCTTGTTCATTTTGCTTAACACCTATCAAACTGTTAATTTCAAGACAAGCTTTCGTTTTAATCTGGCCCCATTTCATGGATTTTGAAGCGCTATCCATTTAGAGATGAAATTTGGATGTAACTGACAAACTGACAATATTATTTCATGGAGTGATCCACCAATACAGTTAAAAGTAAGCAGGATTTGACCTAAAATACTTCTTTGAATTTTCTTGATCACTGTTGCAGTCCAAAAGTGTGTGTCCTTTTTTGGGAATTGTGTAGCGTGTTTCTTTGCCTACATGTGGTCATTTGGAAAAGCTATAAACCCTTTAACCTTTAGATTTAGTTGACTAACATATCCTACAACCAGGTTAGTTTTAATCAGGCAATGGCCTTTAGAATAGCTGTGTGATATATATTTTACGAGCAGCACCTGAATGCAGCATTGCTATATAGGCCAGACTGTGGTCTTGTCATAGCCAGGCGGGAAAGCTTTTTTGACCAACAGTGAACACACATGCACTCCCATTTCCCTTTTCCCCTCATTTCCACAAGAGGAGTAGGAGTAGTGTTTGGTTGAATCACAATGCTCTCTTTCAGAGTGAGTGACTCGTAGGAATTTGTTAGGCTAAAGGAAGAAGCAGAAACGTGGCTCTGCTGGATCGGCTTTCTCCTAAGAAGGCTGCTGGCTTTGTGACAAATTCAACCTGATCTCACCAGAATGCGTGACTCCACCACGACTCCTTAACACCACATTGCGTGGTGGAGTCACTAACTTTACTACATTTACGTGTCGGCACCACGCAAACAACCCCAATGTAAAGGGAATGAGGCTCCTTTGTCCAACCTGATCTCACCAGAATGCGTGACACACAATGCACTGTTTTTTGAGAACACAAAATGGTAACTAATGCACCATAATAGGCCTACATTCTGACGAAAAATACAAATGATTATGAATACAAATACAATAAAAGAAGCCTCCCGTGAGTTACTACAAGCTATAAAGTAGAGTTTAAAAACGTTTTATAGAATACAAAGCTCACTGCAGGACGTTGTAGAAATTCGTGTGTGCACCACGACCAAGGTAATTCACTTTACATTGGGGTTGTTTGCGTGGTGCCGACACGTAAATGTAACAAAGTCAGTGACTTCACCACGCAATGTGGTGTTAAGGAGTCGTGGTGGAGTCACGCAATCTGGTGAGATCAGGTTGGACAAATTAGGCCTCCTGAAGGGAGGAAGGCGTATCAGAAAAAAAGTCGTTGTTGCATTTACTTATGATGACTAATTTAAAGACATTATCAGTTCCTACTACAATTTGTCTGCCTCTTTCCACTCAGGCCTCTTCAGAGTGACTGAGATCATCTTTTTCACACATGGGTGCTGTCTGGTGTGTCTGCTCAGTGACACAGTGCAGGACCAGGAACAGACTGATATTTCCCACATCTGTGTCCCAGCTGATTAGCAACCATCAGCATGCCGTTCCTCCTTATCTCTTAGTCTGAGCTCACTGTTTTAAAAAAACATCTAACGGTCAACTTGAGACTCTAAGGCATCTTAATTGTAGGCTACACTGGGCAAGTGGGGGGAATTATATGACACCTTATTAGAGCTTATTCAAATGGTTTTTTAAAGGTAATTTCTTTCTTCTTTTTTATCTGGTAAGGTGAGTTTATTTCTATTTATTCTTTTACTTATTGTGGCCACAATAAGCTTCCATACAATCCTGATCCGCAGCACATTCAATGGCTCTATGTTGGGAGACTGTCGATTTTTCATTGCTAACAGACTGAAGCTATTGTGCATTTGAACAATAGCTTCAGCGATGTCGTTAGCAATGACAATGTAGTCCCAACAGTGCAATTTACAATATACATACACAAAATATTGCAATAAAAGCGTGCAAATGATACAATGGTACAAGTCAAATGCAGGAATGAGCAAACTATTTGCATGGAAAGACAAATAAGATAAGACAGAATGTAAATAAATGCTGCAGAGTCCAGGTATGTTTCCCAGCATTTCAGTGTTCAGTTGGAGGACAGAGTCTTCCTGCCTCTGCGCACCTGGTGTGTGTTTCACAGAGGACAAGAGTTTATTACCGTTCACCTCCAGTTGTTTGCTGTGGTTGCAGGTTTGTTGCAATTTCTGCTGCGGCGCACAATCAGACTCAAACCTGCTGAGAGCAAGAGGAGGAGGTCAAATACACCACAGAGCGAAACAAAAGGGAGGCAGGGGATGGAAAGGGCAATGTGCTCAGCCTCGGCTCACTGAACACATGCGATAAAGAAGAAAGGAAGGGTATATTATTCCATCTGTAATATAAAACATTTATGTGAGGCTGGAAAGGAGACTGTAGAATCAGCAAACCTCTTGAAAAGAGTTTAAATGCTGCATTTGTCAGGGTTTGGAATAAATGGAGCCAAATGAGTGATAGGTGAGGGAGCAGATGCCGCTGACAGGCTGGTATTCTGAGGTGCGTGTTGATGTTTCTGAGGAGAGTGGGAAATCCCATGGAGACTGAAGTGGACGTATCCAGGCCACTAGTTTGACTTTTAACTTGTTTTTAATCTTGGTTCAGACCCTTTTTCTTCTCAAGCAGATCAAGCATTTAGCCCCAATGGGATGGAGAAAGACAGGAATAGACAGAGAGAAGGGTGAGGCGGTCCTCAGGGCTTAAAAACATGTCAGTCATTTATTTTGTAGACCTACCATGGGAATACAAGGGTGGAAAAAGTACATCAAAATGTGCTACATCCTAATCTTTTCTTTATCAAATACATAGTTTAAAGCCACTGAAAAAAGTATTTCAGATCCTATTTATATCTCTATGACAGTCAATTAAACTGACATTTTTTAAATGAACATGCCGTCATCACATTTTCATTTAAATGTTTTGCTAAATTTGGATTGGTGTGATCAAATACTTTTTTCTAACTGAGCCGTGGCCGTTTGAGAGCAAACAAGAAATAAGGAAAATATAGAAATGATGTTGAACTAACCCAAATTGTTAACCAAAAATCAGGAACCCATCACTAAGTAGCTGATTAAAAAAATAATTTGTAAAGCCTTTAATAAGTCTTTACGTCTCTGGTGTGCATGTGTTGGGGCACGGCCCTCTGTCCAGCAGGCTGATAAATTCCAGCTGCACACCCACATGTCCCACACACCACTCACCCCTACATACATTATATAAGCCCTGCATTCCCGGGTGAACAGGTGCCAAAGCTGCATTTAACCCCAGACAGTTACTTCCTTCCTCCCTCTTACACAAAAACTCACACATTCAGGCTCCACAGATGCAAATCCAGACCTAATCCACATGAGCCATGTGTCGTTGCTCTAGGGAAGCATAACTATACGAAATGTTATCAAAGTCGCAATATCCAGATCAAAGGCAACATTTGTTGTAATATCATTCTATACACATTTTTCCAGGCCTGCAAACTTTATTCTACAGACAAAAAAAAACTTGTTTGGTAAAGGTCCTCTTCTAAAAACCACACCATGATCACATTTATATATATATATATATATATATATATATGCTAATGCAAATAATGATCATTCCCTCAACATATTGCAATTGTAAAATCAGTCAAATGAATCGCAATAAGTTACTTTTTTCTAAATCCCGCAGCCCTTGTTTGCTCTGAAGATGCCCACAGTGGGCCAGCCTCAGCCCGAAACCACAACACACTGCTTCTCTCAAGAGCTGCAAAGAGGCAACATGATGATTTGGGTCGGATTGAGGGGTTCAGAGGCCTCTTTCTAAATCGGACAAGCACATCATTTAAAAGACCTCAGACAGCTGTGGTGGGCTCTGTGAAAATCGAACCGAAGTGTTTGTATGTATGGCACGTGGGTACGCATGTGAGAGTCCCTGAGTAAGAGACAGAGAGAAAAAAGAGCCTGAATTAATTATTGAAATGTTCCCAAAGAACTGGCTCCAGAGCGGCGATTATTTTAGAAACAGAAGCCTAAATGTAGCCGAGCTCTGAGACAGGGGTAAGATTAGACAGTCTCAGCAGAAGATATGTCGAGTGTTCAGTGAGGTTTTAATAGACAGCAGATACTCTATCTTCTTTGATAAGACCAAGAAAACCAAACAGCAGGGCAGGTTTTATCTGCTTTCTGCCTATGTAAAAATGTACACAGAATTTAAAGGAATAATCCTCATGGCTTTAAACATCCCCAGTTCATTACCTACATTGATTCCATTACTTATTGTCTGTTAAGTTTAATTATGCAAATGAGGCCTTTTCTGATTAGATCAGCCAAAATGTAAAATGTACCCTCTTTGATGTACCATGAAAGCACAATAATAACACAGACAATAGAGGATTTCTACGTGCTATAAGATGGTACAAGATCAGGTTATAATGCAGCTAATTCATATTGTACATTG